TCCAAGTCAAACCCATGCATCTACATATGGTATGTAGCGCAAACAGCATATGTAGGTGGTCTTGTACAATGAAAAAGAAGATATTATTTCTGCCTTTGTGCTTACAGACAGGTACTTCATTTCAGTGTTTTGAGCTAATCCATTTACTTTCACACATGCAACACATAGCAAGATCCATTATTTAAGCTTGCCTCTATTTTAATGAAAGCAAGTTCAATATTCTCTGTAAAGGTCAAAGTAATAAGCACATTATTATCTCTCCAAAATTTTAACTGACAGATACAAATCAGATGATATGAAGAAACAAAAAGTTTTGCAGCTTCCAAAAAAAACAGAAGTTAAAGGTTGCCTAATGGCTACATTGCTAAGGTTTCTTTACAGTTCTTGATGGTGTTTCAAGCTGTAAGCCACCGAATAGGCCTTTCACTCCTTCTTGTGGGACTATCACCCTGGAGGGTCAGAGGGCTGTTGAATTCTTGATACTGATTGAAACCTTCTTTTCTCTTAAGAATTTCAAAGTAGTTTCCTTTGTCTTTTGTTCTATGCTTTGTGGAGATGTTCCCCAAGGTTTCAGTCAGCGGAGTGACATTTGGAAAGAGTGAGAAGAAAGTAATTATTATGATTTCCTGCTTATTATTGCTTTCCTCCGGTGGATACTGTTTCCCTGATTCAAAGCTGCTCTGAAATTGAGCATCTGAATACAGACTAAGAAAAGTAGTAGGTAAAGGAAGTAGTAGTATTGAGTGATGCTAATACTCTCTTCTTTAACTAATATCAAAGGAGAGAACAGAAAATCAAAGAAGGGACATGAATGAGAGTAATTTTTTCAACCCCCCCAAAATTAATGCAAATAGGTGAAATAAATAGATCAAGGAATTGATGGACTATCATGAAATGGGCAGTACAAAGGTGTACTGATGGTTTTATCAACATCCCAAAAGAAGAAACTGAAAGCATATTTAAGGCCTTAGGCAGAAGTTGATATAGGAAGAATGTGAATATGAATGTGAAGTATGAATAGGTGAAATGAATATGAATAGGTGAAATAAATAGATCAAGGAATTGGTGGACTATCATAAAATGGGCAGTACAAAGGTGTGCTGATGGTTTTATCAACATCCCAAAAGAAGAAACTGAAAGCATATTTAAGGCCTTAGGCAGAAGTTGATATACGAAGAATGTGAATATGTAAGCAAGTACATACAAAAATTGTATATAAATGTATATATGTGTCAGAATATGAAACACTCTATCAGTAACCTTAAAATCTCTCAATGCTTATAAAATGGGCATTAGATCTTAATATTTTAGTATCTCTGATCTTTTACTCCTTTCAAATCTTCATTTGTTGTATAAAATTTGATTTTACACATTTATATTCAGTCAGCTTGATTGAACTCTCTTTCTTATTCCTTACACTTTTATATTAATGGGAAGTTACTTGTACATCTAGGAATCAGTGATATGAGACTTATATTAAGATTTCCTTTCTACAGACATTTATTTTATACAGTGAAAGAGCCTTCTTTCTCTGCATTATGAATGAATCAGAAGGAGAGAACTCTTGCTATTTGTTCAAAATCAATACAACAGCTAAACTGTCAGCCTTTCCTGAGTAAAACATCAAATCGTTCAGTTTTTGAATAGTTTCCCCAAAAGATGAGAAGAATCGTTACAATATATGCTATCTTAATTTCAGACATGGAATCACGGTTAAGCAAAATCCACAAACTTTATAAGTTAGCTAAAATAGTTAATATTATGAGAATAACATTCCTTTAAGTTTTAAGAAAACACTCTGTATAGTCACTGTTTCTTCAGATTATCTTTTTAAATTATTTTAATGTCTACTGTAAATACAAACTATATCACTAAAATAGCAAATTAAAAATGTATGTAGCTCAAAAGCAAAAAAGATAAAATGAAAGAATAAACAATTTGATTTTCCAAAATATGTCATGAAAAACAGAAAAAAATGGGAAGAGGACAGTTTGGGTAAATAGTAAAATCGATGATTTTTAACTGTAATGATCATACTAAAGGTAATTGGTTATATACTCTAAGAGCTGACTCATTGGAAAAGACTCTGAGTTGGGGAAGATTGAGGACAAGAGGAGGAGGGGACAACAGAGGTTGAAATTGTTGGATAGCATCACTGACAAAATGGACATGAGTTTGAGCAGACTCCAGGAGATAATGAAGAACAGGGAAACTTGATATGCTGCAGTTCATGGAGTTTCAAAGGGTTGGACACAACTTAGCAGCTGAACAACAACAACAACCCTAATTAAAGGCAGAAATTGTCAGATTAGATTAAAAATGCAATTCCAAACTATATGCTGCCTATAGTACACAGACTTCATTCATAAAGACACATATAGATTAAAGGTGAGAAAATACACCCTGAGAGACAGATTAATAGACATAGATCAATAGATCAATAGAAAAGTCAAGAAGTATGAATAGACCTACAAGTATGAGGACAACTGATTTTAAACAAATATGCAAAGATACTGGAAAAGGGATTGTATTTTCAACAAATGGTACTGGAAAAATTGAATATCTATATGCCAAATAAAGAAAAAGATAGTATCTGTGTTGGCGAATTTTATGTGTCAACTTGACTGAGTCACGTTTTCCCCAGGTATTTAGTTAAGCATTATTTGTAGATGTGTTTGGAAGGGTGTTTCTGGATGAGATTAATATTTGAATTAGTGGACTGAGTAAAATGAAGTGGATAGGTATATTCTAATTCACTGAAGGCTAAAAAGGACATACTTAGTCTATCTGCCTGTCTCCTGAACTGGTGCATCAGTCTTCTTCTGCCGTTAGACTGGGACTTAAAATATCTGTGCTTCTGGTTCTCAAGCTCAGACTAAAACTGTGTTGTAGGCTTTTCAGGGTCTTCAGAGCCTCTTGGTGAGAGTGAAAGAGGAGAGTGAAAAAGCTGGCTTAAAACTCAACATTTAAAAAACTAAGATCATGGCATGTGGTCCCATCACCTCATGGCAAAAAGATGGGGAAACAGTGGAAACAGTGACAGACTTTATTTTCTTGGGCTCCAAAATCACTGCAGATGGTGACTGCAGCCATGAAATTAAAAGACACTTGCTCCTTGAAAGAAAAGCTATAACCAACTTAGACAGTATATTACAAAGCAGAGACATTACTTTGCCAACAAAGGTCCATCTAGTCAAAGGTGTAGTTTTTCCAGTGGTCATGTATGGATGTGAGAGTTTGACCGTACGGGAAGTTGAGTGCCTAAGAATTTATGCTTTTGAACTGTGGTGTTGGAGAAGACTCTTGAGAGTCCCTTGGCCTGCAGAAAGATCCATCCAGTCAATCCTAAAGGAAATTGATCCTAAATATTCATTGGAAGGACTGATGCTGAAGCTGAAACTCCAATGTTTTGGCCACCTGATGCGAAGAACTGATCCATTGGGAAAGACCCTGATGCTGGGAAAGATTGAAGGCAGGAGGAGAAGGGGATGACAGAAAATGAGATGGTTCAATGGAATCACTGACTCGATGGACGTGAGTTTGAGCAAGCTCTGGGAGTTGGCGATGGACAGGAAAGCCTGGCGTGCTGCAGTCCATGGGATCTCAAAGAGTCGGACACAACTGAGTGACTGAACTGAACTGACTGGGTCTTCAACTTGTAAACATCAGACAGTGAGACTTCGCAGCCTCTATAACTGTGTGAAACAATTTCTTATATCAAAGGATATAAAATATGTAGATATGGATATGAATATACCTACTTATTCTGTTTTTCTTCAGAATCCTTACTAATGCAGTATAATATGCAAACCAAGTATAAATGGGCTATATGGGCAAAAACTCATCAAACTTCTAAAAGGAAACACTGGACAAAATTTTTGTTGCTTTGGTTTAGACTAAAAATTTTTAGATATAATACCCAAAGTATAATTTATAAAAAGTAAAATTGATAAGTTGCACTTCACCAATTTTTTAAAATGTGTACTTTTTAAAAGAGTGGTAAGTAAATAAAAAGTTAAGACTTAGACAGGGAGAAAATATTTGCAGAATCTGTAAAGAACTCTGGATGCTCAATAGCAAGAAAACAATCAATCCAATATAAAATGAACATAAAATTCAGTGCCACTTCATCAAACAAGATAGCAAATAAGCACATTAAAAGATGTTCAATATCTTTAATCATCTAGAAATTGTGAATCAAATCCATAATGAGATTCCACTACATAATATTAGGAAGGCTAAAATTAAACAGGCTAGCTATACCAAGTATTGGTAAAGATGTGAGGAAACTTCAGTTCACAAGTTGAATTTATTGCTATGGGGAATGTAAAATGGTACAATATTTTGAAAAACAATCTGATAGTTTCTTTAAAAAATTAACCCTTTGCCTACCATATTATCCACCCATTTCATTCCAAAAATGAATAAATAAATAAATAAAATGAAAGTGTATGTGCAAACAAATGTGCACATGGATGTTCATAGTAGCTAAATTTTTAATAGTCCCAAATGGGAAACAATCTAAATGTCTAACATTATGTGAATGGTTTAAAAATGTGCTATCTGGATAGGCAGACAGACATCTGCCACAGATTCCTTTCACAGTGACTCCTTTAGAAATAGCTTTACTTAAGAAGATTCATCAGAGAAGGCAATGGCACCCCACTCCAGTACTCTTGCCTGGAAAATCCCATGGACAGAGGAGCCTGGTGGGCTGCAGTCCATGGGGTCTCTAAGAGTCGGACACGACTGAGAGACCTCACTTTCACTTTTCACTTTCATGCATTGGAGAAGGAAATGGCAACCCACTCCAGTGCTCTTGCCTGGAGAATCCCAGGGACGGGGGAGCCTGGTGGGCTGCCGTCTATGGGGTCACACAGAGTCGGACATGACTGAAGTGACTTAGCAGCAGCAGCAGCAGCAAAAAGATTTATATTAACATGGTTAGTTTGGACACAGCCTTCTGTTTTATTTCCCCTTGATTTTGGTGTGTTTTTCAGCTGCTGAAGGAATGGTGTGCAACCATCTCTGTTCAAATGATGGGTGTTGGGGACCTGGGCCAGACCAGTGCTTGTCATGCCGTCGCTTCAGCAGGGGAAGAACCTGCATAGAGTCTTGTAACCTCTATGACGGGTAAGGCATCTTACGTCATCTTGGTCTCATGACCTTTGAGGTACTGATTGGTTCAGATATTGAAATGATCATAATATGGTAAAACTTCATAATGTGTGTGCTGGCCAAGATTTTTAAGGAGAGTTTTTGTGGCATAAAGCAAAAAACATAAAAAAGAATTGTTTTAAGAAGGAATAATTTTATTTAGTGAACAGATAGGTCAAAATGCATATTGACATATTGACTATTGTGCATATATTTTTAAAAGTGTATAAATATGGGTAATTCTTAATAGATTATAGAAATTTATACCTCTCCAAATTGAAAAATGTTTCTATTTCCTTTATGAAGGACATTGTGATAAGTAATATTTCCTCTCACATGTGTCAACAATTTTTTTCTCTTGTTTTCCTATTAATTTTCATCTGGAATAACAGCATAACTTTTGATTTTTTTCCATTTAGGTTTTGAGGCTATTTGATTGTGTATTAGGAACAACATACATTTTATGTTTCAGACAAGCACCTAGCCCTATAGAGAAATTACCTTTGTATTTTCTAGTTGAAAAGGTTTTCTGAAAGTGCTTTGTCACTTTCTAAAGATAACCTAAGCTGTATTTTAAATCAAGTATTTTAAATTCCATCTACAATACTGTAATAATCAAATTGACAACAATAAAACCTAGTATATACCTCATTGTGTGGCATTTCATATACTCATAAAATCACTTTAACCTAACATACCATTTCATGCATCACAGTTGTCCTTCATTAGTACTAAAATAAAAATTTTAGCACTGTCCCTGAGTCAAATTTCCCTATATTGCTCACTGAACAGGTTTTCAAGGGTTTGTAAAATTGTAGTTTTGAAGTTCTTTCTTCTGTCTTATAAATTGTCCCTATTTTAATAACGGTTTTCATAATCCAAGATAACATTGCATTTTTGCATTTTACATTAGAGGGATAAAAACCTAAGGATCTCATTAATAGTGATATGTCTCTTCTTTGAATGATGACCAAAACCAATTCCCTCCATGAATTTAGGAAAAAATACTAAAATTAGAAGTTTAAATGTAAAACCACTTTTAAAAAGTTATTTAATAGTTTGAGATGGTGATAATGGTTGTACAGTTCTGTGGATATATTAAAATAGCATTGAGTTGTGCACTTTCAATAGAAGAACTGCATGATATGTGAATTATATCTTAATAAAGACAGTATCCAAATAAAGGATTTAATATTTTTATCAGGAAAATTCAACTTGAAACTTTGTAGAGCACAATCAACTCATAAAGTTGATAATGAATAGCAAATCATTTGTTACTTGCCTCATTGAATTGAATTGTATTCATGCTTGTTCATATTATTATGAAAGAAAGATATTTTCTGTACATAAAGTACTTCAGATAAAATATGCTTCTCTGTGTGTATAGCAATTGATGCCATTAAAATGGAACTAATAGACTTTAATTCTATTAAGAGACTGTTACAGTAAAAGTTTATTGAATACGTATGTGCAGTTCTAAGGAGGGAATAGACTCTAGAAATCATTTTATCAAATAGTGAGAAGTAGTAGAATTAAATGTTGACCAATGTCAAAACATATTTGAAATACCAAACCAACACTGGAACTCAGGATATCTGATTTTCATCCTGTTTCTTTCCAGAAACCATTGTATTTTACTTAAATATTTCAGTTTTGAACTTGTCAAAAATGTGAAATTGATAGATATGTGGATGAGTAGATTATCTGTACTACTCTCTGTCTCATTTTTATGAGACAATGAAAGCTAAGCAAAGGAAAAATACTGGTTCCTTAAATAAACAATAAACAGTACTGATTATCTGACTGTTTTGAAAGCTTGTCTGTGTGTTAGTCGCTCGGCTGTGTTCAACTCTTTGCAGTTGCATGTATTGTACCCTGCCAGGCTCCTCTGTCCATGGAATTCTCCAGGCAAGAATACTGGAGTGGATTGCCATTTCCTTCTCCAGGGAATCTTCCTTGACACAGGGATCAAAACGAGGTCTATTGCATTGGCAGGCAGATTCTTTACCATCTGAACCACAAGGGAAACCAGATTTTCCAAATCATTAAATCAAATGTATTAAAGAAATATAATAAAGTTCTTAATGTTTTTTGCCACAGTGATAAGAGCCCTAGGAAATAATACACAAGGGTTAGTTTAAAATATAATAAATTAAACTATGTTATAAATATCTGATGTAATTCTTGCCTGCCCAATGAGTGATTTTGCCATCTCCAATCTGTGATACTGGTAAATTTCTTCCAACTTTGCCTGGCAGACATGACAGCCTTTGATGATAAATGAGCTTAAATCCTAACTTAATCACTTCCTATTTGAAATGTCCATCCTTGGATAAATAACTAATTGTCCTAAACTCTTTTTTTTTCAATATGGAAAATGGGACTAGTATTGATATCATAAAATAGTTGTGATTATCAAAAGAGAAAAAAGCATAATAAAGTCATGTTAGAATTCCTTCCCCTAAAATAGTTATCTTCATTTCCATTTAGTTTCTATAAACCTGAGCTGATTAAATGGTTAGGTAGAATAGTCACTACCTATTTTATACACTGCTGAAAATAAATACAAATATGAAATACAAAATCAGGGAACCTATTTACATAAACAAATAGCTTGACTATCATAAAAGAAGAAATTCTAAAAAGAGGATGTTTTTTAAGGGGAAACACTGAGTCAGGTAATCCTGGCTGTTAGCAGTCAAATCCATATCATCCAGTTCCAGTTCCAAATCAGTTCCAGTTCCAGTTCAGTTACTCAGTCGTGTCCAACTCTTTGCGACCCCATGAACCACAGCACGCCAGGCCTCCCTGTCCATCACCAGCTCCCAGAGTCCACCCAAACCCATGTCCATTGAGTCGGTGATGCCATTCAACCATCTCATCCTCTGTCATCCCTTCTCCTCCTGCCCTCAATCTTTCCCAGCATCAGGGTCTTTTCAAATGAGTCAGCTCTTCACATCAGGTGGCCAAAGTGTTGGAGTTTCAGCTTCACCATCAGTCCTGCCAATGAAAATCAGGACTGATTTCCTTTAGGATGGACTCCATATCATACAAGTCATTATATTGACAGTTTGTAACTTCAATATGGACTCCTTGGTGACTCAGTGGTAAAGCATCCACCTGCCAGTGTAGAAGATTTGGGTTTCCTCTGGAGAAGGAAATAGCAATCCATCCAGTATTGTTGCCTGGGAAATCCATGGACAGAGGAGCCTGGTGGGCTATGGAGTCGCAAGGAGTCAGACACAACTTAGTGACTAAATAACAGCAACAACAAACTACAATACACAAGTATTCAAAATGAACAAGAAAACTAATTGCCATGCAATCTTAAATGTGTTTTCTTAACTGGCAACATGGCTAAATGCTTCTGAAACGTGAAGAACAGAGAAACAACGGAAAGGGTATCAGTCTTAGCTCTTTGTAGTCATCTTTTACATTTCTCATTGAAACACTTTTTCCTTTTTAAGAGTAAGAAGGATATTTAGGAATTGAAGTCTAGAGAGGTTAGGAGATTTAAGACAGAAATATTAATCTTGGTACTGAGAACACCAACCAGTACCAAAGCTTTTGCTCTTGATCACAGGATTGGTTAAAGTAGCACACACACAAAACTGTGAGAAATGTATAGCAGCAAAAACACAAAGCTCAGTAACCAAAGCGCATGCTTCATGGAATGTGACTTGTTAGATCAGACTCAGGTGAAAGGTGATCTCTGGCGAAGTTATAGCAGAATCTCTAGGAGATAGCAAAGAAATTGCGAGGAGAATCTGTTTTGAAAACCAGAAAGAAAGAGAGCCAGAAGTTCTACAGGAGAAGTCTAGGCTATAAAAGAAAAAGCCTCTAGGTTGTCTCCAGGACTCTTTATGACATACTCATTTTATTCCTCAACTCTGTATGTGGAAATGGGAGCTCTGAGAAAAGACAAGGATGGCCTGTGTCTTAGAAACATAAAAATGGTTATCTTCATTTAGTATCCTAATTCTCTCATCACCCAAAAAGCTGTTTTCAGAAATGGTGCTTTGCTGATGATTGCAGAGTTTGCTGTAACAGTCATGTAATCTCATTTACACATGATGCTTTTGATTCTCTTTACAATTTAATTCCATCTCCCACCTCCACCAGCAGCACATCATTTTTACCTTTATATTCTGAAGTCTTCCTCTGTTGAATATTTTATATTTTGTTGATAAAACATGCAAAATATAAAAATTTTAAGTATTTGACATGTTAAACTCTAGAAATTTTGTAAAAAGTTAATCCATAACAAACCAGCACTTCAATTTGAGTGCAAAATCCGTGTAAGTAAATATGTACATCCACACATAACTCGTCATAGATTTATGCTATTTATTTTGGAAACCAAACCATTATTTTACCTTGATGTAGATATAATCTTAATATAACCAACAGAAAATGCAGCCCACCCTTTGGATTTCAATTATCTGTTAAGACTTTATTATAACCAAATTAGATATTTTGCTATGAAAAAAAGAAATAATTCATAGCTGACATTCTAAATTGTTTATACCCAATACCTCATCCTCTTATACATTAGTGAAAACAGTGTGGTTGTATACATATTATACATGTGTTGTGTGCTGGGCTAAGTTGCTTAAGTCATGTCCAACTTGTACGACCCAATGGACTATAGCCTACCAGGCTCCTCTGTTCATAGCATTCTACAGACAAGAATACTAGAGTGGGTTGCCATTTCCTTCTTCAGGAATCTTCCTGGCCAAGGGATTGAACCTGCATCTCTTGTCTTCTGCATTGGCAGACGCGTTCTTTACCATAAGCGCCACGTGAGAAGTCATACATAATGGATATGCAATTACTGAAATGAAAATTCTAGAGTAGATATTGATTAGAAACCTTATATATTGGTAACATTTGATATTCACATAGCCACAAAATGTAAGGTTTGAGGAAGAGATGACCGTCATCCTAGATTTTAATTTAAAAGTTTTAGGATGTTACCATTAAACTATTTTTTATTAATTTTATATCATATAGAATTGCTTCAAAAAAGAGTTTAAACTGAAAAGAATGTTGTGATACTAGATCAATAATCTAAGCAAATAAAATCTACCATTAAAAGATATTTTCTCTAATTCTCCAAGGCAGATATTTTGAAAGAAGAAAAGAAATCAAAGCGTTTTTTGAAGTTTCACTAAAAATAAATTGAAGAGTCTTGGGATTTGAAGGACAAGGATAGCGAACATTCATGTAACTTAGCAACAAAAAAATACAATCGTTCTTTCAGAGTTTAAAAAATAAGGCTTCAGCCAAGAGTAAAATTTTATAGAGAGACAAACAGGCACGACCTTACTTAAAATAGCAGAAATGGTTCTGCTGTGTCATCAAAAGAGTAATACTTGTTTTTTTCTTTTCCTTTTTTCTTTCTTTCTTCTTCTTCTTCTTCTTTTTTTCTTTTTTTTGAGACTGCTGGAATATCTCTCACAAGAGAGAGGTTTCCTGAATGAGTCTGTCGTTGAACCCAATGGAGGGCAGGAGGAACCATCTGGCTGCAGTTTATCTTTTCTCCTAATGGAGAACTTACTCGTTAATGCACAGGGAAATGATTCTGATGCTCCTGGCACATAGAGAAACAAACTCTAGAATTTACTCTGCCAATAGGACTTTTAGCAGATGTTACCTCATTTGTTAAGTTGACAGCCTGTTTGCTTACACTGCCTCATGCTGCTGGTGTTTTCACAGCGAATTTCGGGAGTTTGAGAACGGCTCCATCTGTGTCGAGTGTGACCCCCAGTGTGAGAAGATGGAAGATGGCATCCTCACGTGTCATGGACCGGTAAGCCTGAAGACATCTGCGGTTGTGTTGGCTTATTTGGTTTCATGTATGAATATCTGTGAGTCATTGCTGTGTCGTTTATCCACCCATTAAATAGGTATTTATAGCATGCTATGGGGAATCACATTCAATAATTTCCCAAGAGGTTTGCAGCTGAAAAGACTTAAAGCTTCAGTTTCTTAAATATTTATTTCCAAGATAATTATTTAAAAAGAAAATATGGTGTTGTCCTTAAAGATTGCATCGTGTTGAAAAGAGAGATACACAAATAACTAAGTAGAGGCAAAATAATTGATACAACATGAATATGTATAATCTGTTATAGGAATACATATGAGGGAGCAACTAAACCTTTGAGTTGAAAACTGGGGCACCAAAGAAAGCCAAAGAAAAGGGGTGTTTGAGCTATGCTTTTAAGAAGAATCTAGAATGAGGAATCATGTAAAGATTTGTAAATATGAAAGTTCATGTTTCGTTTGAGGTAAACTGTAATACATTCATATCTGTGTTTAATCATTTAACTGTGATAGCATTATGAGGAAAAATTGAAAAAAGGGGGTAGGCAAGTTTTCATAAATTAAAATCTAAAATTATGTAATAAAATACTGTGGCAGAGAGAAAAATTGAACCATGTTGATCAAAGGAGGAGCTATAGGATTAGGAAAGTCCTCATGAACATGCTGACATTTATGTAGTTTGAAGTTAGTCTTATGGAGAAAAGTGATAATTATTTTTTAGACCTTCCTTTGGCTCCCATCATTCTTAAAATGAGACTTTTTCTTAATAATGAGATCAGAATGAGTCTGTCATTCCAAAGTGTCGTATTCATCCTTCTTTAGACAAATTTTCAGTTTGTCTGTTGAATCATCTATCAGTAGAAAATTTGAGGACCAACATTTGAGTGTTGCCAAGAGGTCTACACTGTTCCATAAGAATTCATTTGAAATTTAAATAGCATTAATTTTTTCTACCAGAGTGCTTATTCAGCACTTAATTAGAGTAGAAAAAAATTATCATTGAGCCCTCCAAACTTCCATCAGGCCCCAGTGAGCCGTTGTGGAACTTCACCTAAAGAAGGATGTGTGGGATACTTGGACAGTTCAAAGGACTACCATGAGGATGATTAAGTTTGGAAAAACAAACCTCTGAGAAAAAGAAGTGATGTGATTTGGCCTGAAGAACCAAAGTCTATGGTTCATATGCTCAGGGCATATGTGGCTATTTTCTTTTTCTGCTAAGGGTAGTAATGGAAAATACAATTAATCTTCAGCATGAGAAATGTGGATTCTGTAAAGAATGTTGGGAAACAGGAAAGTAAAATTCCATACTAGGTTGTTAAAGTAAGTTGACCTGTCTCTGTAAAATTTGTCTAAAGACTATCATATCTAGGAACCATATGTCTGAGAATGAAAAAAAGTGTCTTTCAGAGAAAAAGAGTTTGAAAGCATACAGTTAAAATAACCAAGAATTTGGCCGTCTTCTCTGAACAAGGCAAACTGCAAAATCAGTCCTGTGCTTTTCCACACCTTATGCTGCCTCCTATGGTACATAAGTATGCTAGGAAATAACTAACTTATTGATGTCTTTGTTTTTAAGTTTATTCCTCAAAGGAATTGAGATAGTTTATAAAAATACACATTAAAAAGCCCTGAAAGTGAACATTCTTGCAGTTTTCAAAATTATTTGATAATCAAGAAAGAATGAAAAGAGATTTTTAATGAACATATTTTGATTCTATAAGGATGGCATTGGTGGATCAAATGCTTAAAATGACTATTCATTGCTAAAATTGTGAATGAATACTTCTAGAGATTAGAGAAGGCAAAAAGTCAAAAATACAAAAAGCTTAGTAAAGTTGAATCACTCAACTATAGAAGATCAGAGCATGAGATCAAGAAAACCAGCTTGATCACTTGGTCAGTAAGCCTTGAAATGCTAAACAAGAGCATAGTGTCTTTTAGGTTCCTCTATCTGAAAAACTGCCAGAATTGAGCTCAAGCAATATTATATAAGGTGTATGCCTGTTTCTGGGTCTACATGTTGCTTATCAAAACTAGAGACAGTGGTGGTTTTATGTGTCATGTAACTGGTATATATTACTTAGGATATCCAAGAGGTTCAGGAAGCTTCTTCATGAGACTGACATGATGGCATAGAAGAAGTCATAAAGCTAATTGGAATTCCCACACCTGGCCTTGTGATTTATTCTGTTGAAATCTCATTTTCTTGATCTGTCAATGTTTCCCTAATGATAATAATTGATAAATATTTATATTTGTCAAACACTATTATACCTCAAACATACTATCATGTGCTCCATTTAAAATATAAAGAAATTGAACCCATTGTAATGACTAGAAAGTTATTCCAAAAATCAGCAAGTTAGTAAGATGTGGAGCTGGAATTCAACTATAGAAATTTTGACACCAAATTACACACTCTTTTCATCTCACTTTTTTTTTTTTCTCTAGACAACAATGTCTATAATGTAGTAAGGATAAAATGCTTTCTGGGAATATACATCACATATGGATGTAAAATGGATGGCATTATCCAATTTAAATGTGACAGATAATCAGGGTAATCTTGAGAGGGATAGATCTGAAATAAAGCAAGCCTCTTGTTTTATATCCTTATCTGTCTGCCCTTGGTTTTATTTATTTTTTTCTTTATTCTGTTTCTTCCTCTTTTTTTAAACAATTTTATCTTTTCTGACACAACTTTCACTATTCCTATATAGTCCTATCAAGAAAGATAAGACAGGGAATGCAAGAGGAAAAGCAAAGGACATCAGATAAAGTCAAACAAGACCAAAATACAAGCCAGAGAGGCAGCAAGAGAAGTGAAAGCATAGGAGATGGGACCTGACAAAAGCTAAAGTAGCTATTAAATTAAGGTTAATAAAGCTTGTGTTGCCATAATAAATGACCACCATATTGCAGTAGACTACAGAAAAATATTTAAATATATTTCATGTAAAGTGCACTGAAAGTCTGGGAAGCTTTTTCAGCCCCTTCCCCTCATCCCCACTCTGTGATGGTCTGGCATCCCAAGAAGTTTTGAATTTATTGCACCTCTGATGGCTCAGATGGTAAGGAATCTGTCTGCAATGCAGGAGACTTGAGTTCAATCCCTCAGAAACATTCCCTGGAGAAGAAGAGGGCTACTCACAACAGTATGACACCACCCTTATGGCAGAAAGCAAAGAAGAACTGGAGAGCCTCTTGATGAAAGAGGAGAGTGAAAAAGTTGGCTTAAAATTCAGCATGCAGAAAACTAAGATCGTAGCATCCAGTCCCATCATTTTATGGCAATCAGATGGGAAAACAATGGAAACAGTGACAGACTTTATTTTTGGGGGCTCCAAAATCACTGCAGATGGTGACTGCAGCCAGGACATTAAAAGACGTTTGCTCCTTGGAAGAAAAGCTATGACAGCATATTAAAAAGCAGAGACATTACTTTACCAACAAAGGTCCATCTAGTCAAAGCTATGGTTTTCCAGTAGTCAAGTAGGGATGTGAGAATTGGAGAAAACTGAACACCGAAAAATTGATGCTTTTGAACTGTGGTGTTGGAGAAGACTCTTAGAGTCCCTTGGACTGCAAGGAGATCCAACCAGTCCATCCTGAATATTCACTGGAAGGACTGATGCTGAAACTGAAATTCCAACACTTTGGCCACCTGATACAAAGAGCTGACTCATTTGAAAAGACCCTGATGCTGGGAGAGATTGAGGGCGGGAGGAAAAGAGAGAATGTGACGGTTGAATGGTATCACTGACACCACCATGGATGGACATGAGTTTGAGTAGGCTTTGGGAGTTGGTGATGGACAGGGAGGCCTGTTGTGCTGCAATCCAAACATGACTGAGCAACTGAACTGAACCGGCTCACTCCAGTATTCTTCCCTGGAGAATTCCGTGGGTAGAGGAGCTTGGTGGGCTACAGTCCTGGGGTCTCAGAGTCAGACACAACTGAATGACTAACACTTTCACCCTTCACACCTACATAAGATCTCCATATCATGGCAGCAGGGAAAGTGAGGCCGGAGAGTTTAGCATCAGCAGTTTCTTAAATTGCTTCTGCTTAATTTCATTATCCCTAGTAAGATGCACCTCCCATCTAGTGGGAGGGAATGTCTATATTCTCTGAAGCTGGAAGTGGAAGAGAATTAGATACTGGTGAATCATGGCTTTGTCTTTTACAGTAACTACAAAAGAAAAATGTCAATTTTCAGCAAGAAAAAAAATGAAATGTTTCTGTCAGGATTTAGCCTATCCTTTAGTTTTCTGTCTAGATTATTGAGTTCAAGGATAGCTTAAAATCAGAGCTAAGGAAGAATATTGCCTTCACCTTTGGTTGCTATTATTGCATTTATTAGTTCATTCACTGAACCTAGAATCTTAAAAGTTTTGGAAAAATAATGATAGAAGAGTACACATTAGACACACATGTATTTCTTTAAATCTCTTTATTATGGAAATGAGATGGAGAATCAGTACATTTCATGCCTCTTGAGATTTGTCAGACTATCTTTTTGTTGTGTCAGCTCTGGACATTTGATTTCATGTCATGGTAATATAGTCAAATAGTTAAGAGATGCTCTAAAAATAAGGAAGTTAAGAAATATATCCTATTAAAGTATGCCTAAAGATTAAATGTGAATTTAATTTTAATTTTATAATTTTTTTACATCTGTTGATTTTACCTAGACATTATTTTACATTAGAAGAATTTTATAGAAAAATAATTCCTAATTCTCTGACTGCCTAATTTACTCCTAGTAAATTTTATTTTTGTGTTCTGGAAGACGACATCAGCATGTCTCTTGTCTTGTACAATCTCATGCCACTGAGCATACTTGCACAGTAAATGATTTTGTGTAATAGACAGCATTACGTGCCTAAGTACCCATGAGCAGGTGTTAAAATTGGAAGCATGTGAAGTATTCTTTTTTGGTAGGAAGTAAGGAAATAAGTAGCAGACTCTTCAGGTTGAACTGCAATTCTATTTCATAGAAAAAAATATATATGTATATAAATATTGAATATATATGTACATACATGTGTACATGCATATATATATATATATATAAAATACATATAGGAAGTTAAGAAAAATGAGATATAAATATATCTATATCTGTCTATCTAGTTAGATCTTAGGTAGATAGATTGATAGATTCTCACTTCAAAATAGTCAAAAAGGTACTTGATTGAACCTCACCAGTCTTTCCAGGAATTTCTTTCAGATTACCCTTTTTTTCTTTGCACTAGTATTCTTCATTAGCTGCCTTTATCTTTAAATTTTAAAATATTATATTTCTTTTTTAAATTTTATTTTTGTATACATTTTAAACTTTTTATTTTGTATTGGGATATAGCCAATTAATAAACGATGTTGTGACAGTTTCAGGTGGCAGCAAAGGGATTCAGTCAGACATATACATATATCCATTCTCCCCCAAACACCTCTCCCATCCAGGCTGCCACATAACATTGAACAGAGTTCCATGTGGTATATAGTAGGTCCTTGTTGGTTATCCATTTAACATATAGCGAGGCATACATGTCCATCCCAAACTCCCTAACTACCTCTTCCTCCCACCCTTCGCCTGGCAACCATATTACTCAGCCATAAAAAAGAATCAAAGAATGCCATTTGCAGCGACATGGATGGACCTTGAGCGTCATACTGAGTGAAGTAAGTGAGACAGAGATGGAGAAACATCGTATGGTATCACTTACACGTGGAGTCTAAAAAGAAATGATATAAATGAATTTACAAAACAGAAACAGACTCACAGACTTCAAGAACAAGATTAACGTATTATGTTTCTGGATTTCCTGATGCCTTATATCACCACTTGTAATGTCTGGCTTAGATGTAATACACTCCCATGAATAGACTGATCCCCAACTCCCTGCCTAATAAATAGACCTGTATGATGTCTTCTTGGTCTTGTCTGTCACATTCACATCATTTATAATTGTAAACCTAATGATATTAAACATCCCTCTCTTTACCAAGTGTATCTTATTTATCTAAATTATGTTCTATGTGAACTGTCACAAATGTTGAGCCCTATAGATATAAACAAACTTGTGGGAGACAGGAGTCGAGGTAAGAAGTTCCAAGGAGCAAAACGAAGAGGAATCTTGAGACAGTACTGTATTCAAAAGGAGGCTAAAACAAATTTTGAGTAGATAATATCATTCCTACTTATTATACAATTACTCAAAACAGTTGAATGTGTAAATATATGAGCATATTTTAAGACAATAGCATTTTTCACCACGATGTTCTCAAATTTGACTTGAGAAGGCACTACTTATTATTTCTTGCAGGCTTACTCTCCCCAGCACCAAATCCATATCAATCCCTTTGGAAAAATTTTTAGATGTTTAATAGGAATTTAATATTTTTACTTTTATTATGACATTTAAATATATTTTCCTGTTATTGCTTATTATAATTGTGTGTATTAGATATTATAAATTGTAAACATAAATATATAAAGTGACAGTATAATTTAGATTATGGCCATAGTTATATCACCTTCTTTTTTTAGTTTCTCCATATAATTTTATTTTCTATCTAGTTTATTATTATGGAGTTTTTGACATTTGCTCTTTAGATTGTGCTTTTATTATGCTCAGTATTATAATGTGATTTTCTAAAATCTCTATTCATAGAGATGATATGATTTTAGCATTATAGGCTGATATGAGATGGAGAATAATTTAGAAATTAAATTTGATTTGCCCAAAATGCCTAATTCCTGATAATTCAACCAGAGAAAATTTTAAATTCATTGTTCAAATACTCATGGTACTACCAAAGGAAAGTTTACATCTCATTTGTATATGAAATTCAGTGTTAAGCCTAATTCCTATCATTTCTTCATCTTCATTAACTCATGATCATATTGACATATTCCTAGTGACTGTGATTAAATATTCCTAGGAAAAATGTGTTGTTACCAAATACTGTTGCAGCGTAATCTCACTGGGAATAAATGACAGCAAGAAAATATTGATGTCCTTCTAGAAAACTCACTGGACAGTTTTGCTGAGTGAAAGTCTATACTAGCAGCATCCCCATTTGTACTTCTGCAACTGCTCTTCGTGGAGGGCATTTGGACATCCATTGAGGTCTCAGCAGCTAAACTAGAGGAATGCATTCCAGAGGAAAAGGCACCCATTTTTCTTTCTTCATTTTGTTTTGTTTTGTTTTTCCTCACACTTTTTAGGGACCTGACAACTGTACAAAGTGCTCCCATTTCAAGGATGGCCCGAACTGTGTGGAAAAATGTCCAGATGGCTTACAGGGGGCAAACAGTTTCATTTTCAAGTATGCTGATCAAGATCGAGAGTGCCACCCGTGCCATCCAAACTGCACCCAAGGGTAAGCAACTTTGCTGGCCAAAAACTCAATCAAGTGCATGTTGCTAATCAAAAGGTACACACAAGCATGTTTATCCCTGAGGCACCCTAGTAAATATATGATACTCATGCAAAATTCTATTCATCTTTATATATGTTGATTTTAAGAGAAATCATTTCTTCAAGAATGCTTTATGGAATTGAATTTACACTCACTAAAATGTTTCTAACATTTTTTAATGACTTCTATTGACACCTTCATGAAGCTGGTATCACAGATACATTGCGTGGGGTGTAGAAATTCTTCCAAATTTTGTTGGAAATTAAAGATATCAGAAAAAACAAGCAATTATATTTTTGAGATTCCACTTGATAAAAGTCTTTACCAGGCACTTTCTGTTTCTTTGTTGTTACAATCAACTTAAAGTGAGGATCTCTCTTTGATAAATGCTGCCTTGTATTATTCTTTCAACAAAATATAAGCAAAAGCAGTGATGATAAAAAAAAGGAATTTAGTGATATGCATATTAATAAAAATACAAGTACATTTTGTGAAAGTAATTCTATCATAGGTTAGCATATTACCTAATGTATCTTCACCGATGTAGGACAGTTCAAAGATGGGTACACATTTTTTTTAACTTTTCAAAAGGATACATTGTAAAATGAATAATAATTAGAATACCTTTGATATTGATAACAGTTGAATAACAAAGACATTACAGAAAGAAGATAAGCACTGAACTATAAAAGAAATAGTGTCACTGCATCTAACGATTCTCAACAACTATTTATTTAAAAGGCAGCAAACCTATTTTAATAAGGACTTTTCCTTTTCTTTTTTTCCTCTAGAAGGTGAGTAAGTTTAGAATTGAGAGCAGGTTCACAAGCTCTATCCTCCTTCTGTCCAAAAATCCTCCTCATCATTGTGAGTGCCCACACAAATGTACACACACACGTACAAGCATATGCACACTTGGTGTGGAGAATCATCTTGGGTACTTTAGATCTAGCAGGAAAGTATGAGATTCCGTAAAGAGATTTTCTGCCAGATTAAGGGCTGGCTGATAGGGAAAATTGAAGAAGTAAAGCAAACCACATCATTTTCTGCCAAGAGGACATCAATTTGCAGATGCTGCTGTAATTCCCTGCAGGTCAAGAAATCAGCTTAAGTCACTCTGTGAAGTGGTAGATTCTCAAAAGGTAAAGTAATATTCTGTCATTCAAATTCAAATTCAGCTTGGAAGAGCTAATGCCACCTCACTGGTTTACACATAAACACATAGCTCGAGGATTCTGAAATAGTCACATAGACACTCTGCTTCAAGGAAACTAGAAAAAATAAGCTGCTCCCCTGGTGAGTTTTTGGCACTGAGGTTAAGGGTATTTCATGAAGAAACTGGTACTCTTGGAGCAGGAGAATCAGCAACAGAGAGGGAGAACTTTGCCTGCTAAAGTAATCATCCACAAGAGGGTTTTATTGTTTTGCAGCTAAAATTAAACCAGTAAATTATTCAATATAATGTTGATGTCAACAGCTGTTGCCATTCAAAATGAGACCTTTTGCTGTTTTTGCAAATCTAATTACAACAAAGCCATTAGGGAAATGAAAGTGAGATTTCAGAGCCCCACAGAGTCTGGATGCCTGGCTGGTATGTCTTTCTCCTAGTCCTTTTAAATGATGATTACACGATAAAGGAAAAGATATATAGTGGTGGGAAAGTAGGAGGGACAACGAAGAGATCAGTTTACCACAGTCACAAACATTGGCTGTCAACCAAAAGGGAGAATGAAGGTGGAACAGGAAAGAAATCTGACCAGATCATTTGAGAACTCTAGTAAATAAAAAGATGACTTTAAATTCACTACTGCAGAATGATGGGGAGACAGAATTTGAATAGTGTATTCTTGTCTGGGTTCACGCATTTGCATGAAAGTTCTGTGGTCTTAGCCCCAGAATGGAATTGGAATTTGGAATTTTTAAATGCCTAAAGCTTCCTCTGTTCACTACTGTGATGCTCTGTACTTTGAGATCCTTTTAAAGAAGCAGTGAGATGCTCTGTGCATGCAGTTCCACTTTTTCAAATTGATCATGTAGAGATAGAAGCTTTTCTTAGAAGGATCACAGGGGCAGTAGGGATGATGGGATGAGTGACTATTTTTATTCTAAACACACATAATAACTGAGCCATCAGTAAATGTGAACTTAACCAGGCCAACTCTACTTTGGAAAACACCTTTTCTTTTATTAATATATGCCAATATTATGTCAACTAGGTAATGCTGGAACCAAGTTAATGGAAATAATCTTTCAAATCACATTTTTCGGAAGGAAAATTCTTATTCTGAATATTGTTTAATGATTGCCTGAAAATAAAATTATCTATGTTATACCTTAAAAGCACTTTTACTACTCTAAAGGTATAATACATTAAATGTATTGACTCTAATAAGTTCTTTAGATATTTTAAAAATTTGTGATCCATTTAGCTAGCATCTATCAGGGGAGTCTCACTAATATTCCTAGAGAAAAAGTAATAACATTGTCTTTTCTTGCCTTGACTAGAGGGCTTTTATTTTAGCAACCTTTCTAATTTCATTCATTGTTCAACTTTGCTATACTGAACACCTATTGTGTATCAGATCCAGTTATAGCTAAGTTCAGAAATAAATAAGACACAGCTCCTGACCACTAGGAAATCACAGTCCCGTGAATTTTTATTCTTGCAATTTGTATCTCTCCTCCATTAGTGATCCCTTGCTATATTTTGAAGTGATTAACAGGAATTTAAAACATAAAAATGATATTCATATGTAAAATTAGCAAGATAGAAATTTTAAAAGAGGACTTGTAACCTAAATTTAGTATGCAGGTGAGTGGTCATAGGGCAAAGATTATAGTTTCTTTGCTAACATTACTTACATTCATGACAAATGTCAATTTAATTTTGTTTTGAAGCATGAATTAGGATATTTATTTTTATAGGGTATCTTTTAAAATTTTCATTCAAGGTTTTTAATAATATTAGAATCATGGCTTCATATATAATTTTCTATATGCATTAATATTTTTCTTATTACTTCTTTTTATATTTTAAATGTATATAGTGAAATAATTTTCATTAATGGAGAAAACAAGTAGGGCTGCTTGTGGGATTATTGTCAATACTTTTGTAATAAAAATTTTAAAATATCCTTTCATTTTAATTATAAAATTTAGAAAAGATTTTGTCAAAATATCTCAACCGTGTTACTTCTATGGGTACATCAAGGTGTTTATAAATCAGTAAGTACAAGCATATGTTAAACACAGTTCAATATTTCAAATTCCAGTATTTTTAATAACATATTATAGTTTCTCTTTCTGAATTTTCTGAAGAGTGTCTACTTTAGTATACTAATTATGTAGAGAATGGTATTATTCCACATTTTTATTTAGTCTCTTATTTGGAATTTTGACTTCAAAAGTTTGATGTTTCCATTATTTTTTTTATTTTCCTGAATCAATATGAATTGCTTATGCAAACTTGCTTATATAGAATTGAAATAGAATATATGTATTAAATATACAGTGACTTGTATTAAGTTTAAAAATATGGCCACTTCAGTCATACTCTTATTCTTCTTCCTCTTTCATTTTTCTTTTATCCTCAACTTATATATACCTTGAAATTTCAAATAGCCTACAAAATCTCCTAGATAAACTTTCTTGACCTCACATTCTGCCCCCTCAAGAGCTCCTCCCTTCTCCTTTGCTTCTATGCTCATATTTCCAATTTGCTTCTCAAGTCACAGCAACCTAAATTCTAGTAACCTTGACAATGTCGACTAACATACTCTTAGTAGCTCCCTTTCTAGACCTGTCTTGCACTGACAATGATGATCATCCAATTCCTGAGGATTTTTCATGACTTGGACCCCCATGACACTGGAATTAATTAATTTTACTCAATCATATTTTCCTGTTTCTGGCATATGAGCTCATCTGATGTCATTTACTAATTATTGGAGTTCTTTGGGTTTTAGTCTCAGTGTCTGTTCTCCTCACTTTAAAGATCTTTCTCCAGTCATCACATCCATTTACATGATTTCAACCTTCTCCTGTATGCTTTTTCAAAGCTGGATCATTGTACTTGTGCCTCCAGCTTCCCCCTTCTCCTCCTAAACTCCTCCCCCTGCTCAGCTCTCCATCTGCTGAGGAACATTTCTCACTGGATGTAGAACAACCACACAAAACTCTAGGTAACCATGAACTGAAATTTCACCCCCTCCTCCGTGAAAACACACACACAAAAGAAGGTGTCACCTTCTGTCTGGCATTCTCTGACTGATGGTACCACTATTCTCCAAGGCTGAAATATGAGTCATCTTTAACTTCTGGGCTCTGTCCACTTCCATCATTAAACCAACCATCAACTACTTTTTTTTATCCCACCCGTCCATACCTTTCTTAAATCTGTCCCTTTGTCTCTTATCCTAGTTACCATTTCCCCATTTAAGCATCATCATCTCTCTCTTACCTAGACTAAAACAACCTCAGGGCCAAAGAAATCTATCTGAGGGCTCCCAGCTGACCAGTCTTTACAGGGCAAAGAGATCAATGTAAAACACATATCCAGCAAGTTCACAGCTTCCTTAGAACCCTGCAGTGGTTTCCCACCAAGTTTATTTTTAAGCAGATGCTGTTCAAGTTCTGGTTTCTATTAAATGGTCTTCTTTTTTTCCTTCTCGCTATTGTGTCATATTTTGTTCTCTAACTGTTCAGAATTATTTGTATCTGTGCATACACAGCCTACCTTTCATCAGATCCATGTTTTTGCTGCTGCTCTTTCTTACACCTTAGAAGTTATTGCCACTCCAATCCAGTGCTCAGGACCCTGAACTTCAGCCTTTTAATTTCTCCATGAAGGTTACCATGATCTCCTGAAGCTGCCTGTCCCTCCTCCACATCTCCTAAGCCACTCTTACGTCCCTTATTATATTTATCATTTTATACAATACACATATGTTTATGCATCTGTCTCTTTCATTAAATTGTGAGCTCATTAAGAAAAGGAAAAATGCCCAATTCATCTTTTTCTCCCCCCAGCTCCTGGAATAGTAGGGACACTTAGAAGATATGTGACAAAGGGTTTTGTTTTGTTTAATTCATTTGAATGAATGAAAATCTTTCATTTCTCATACTTTCCCCTCAAGTTAAATGTTGCTTTCACATATTTTTATCTTTCAAAGATGATTAGAAAGACACAGTTTGCAAACTAACTATAGCTTTCAGATTATCACTTGGTAATAATAAGTAGATGATTGATTTTACAAAAATGGCAATATCATATTAAAAAAACATTTTGAAGGAGATATAATAGGAAACTAGAAAAAAATGACTCCCTAGAATAAAAAAAAAAGCCATCTAATACAATTTGGAAACTTTTATAGCAATTAAATTTTTATTTTTAGAAATGGCTCTCATTATGGATTATGGAACCAATCCAATGCTATGTGCTCTGTATTTTAATTTTAATTTATTTGGTTTTTTAAAAGATTTTTTCAGTGTAAATTTTATTTGCTATTGTTGAAACACCTTTTTCTTATATTTCTGTACATTAAAATTTTTCTTGGCCACTCAAAGGCAATTCTCAAAAGAAAAATAATTTTTCACCTAGTAAGAATAATATAGCTGATATTGATTAAGTAGGAAACTAGTGACTTAATTATTGTCATACATAGTTATATTTGTTTACCACTGTTCTATAACTTTCTATAGCTATAATGGACAGTCTGGCCTTATACATGAGAACTTTATTAATTCATTATGTAATGATTTTAATGTCAGCTTCTTTTTCAGTTTTAGTAGTGAGAATTTGGAAAAAAATATTGCCAGCAGAATTAGTTCAATAAATCATAGCTGTACAAGGAACCTTGATAATGCACTGGACCTGTATGTCTATAATGAGAGAAAAGGGAAAGAAATACAATTCAAATTCATTGGAAGATGGAAGGAATAATATTTCTATGATACTTCAAAATCAGAATTCTGTGTACTTACATTATTTGACTTAAATATTGACCTTAGTGGACTCTGTAGTTACCTGAGTCTCAATTTATTCATTTCCTTGTGGGGTATTTATTTGTTATTGTTCGAGCTAAATATTATGGCAGTTTATAAAACTGTTTTTATTTGCCTATTATGGCACTGCTCTTTTAAAAACAAATTCAAAATAAACTGCAGTATGGTGAAACAAGTTAATCTGCTTTTTAAATGAATTCATGTTTATAGATAAGTATGTTTTAAACAGAGTCACAACCAAGGGATGAAGTAATGTGATTATGTAAAGTAACCAAGAGAATAGCATTAAAGGTTGTTAACTCATTTTCTGCTAAAATCAATTTTTATTGAGTATTAAGCATCAGGTTATTCCATTATATTGAATAGCGCATGTTTGCTTTTTTATTTATTTTGTTTTTTACTTAACCTTAGAACGTTTTAGAAGAAACTATATACATGAAACCAATTATAGCCATTGAGATATTAAGTTCTTCATCAAGACATATAATCATGAATGATGCTAATGAACTTAAAGTATTAGAAATGAACAATATGTGTTTGGAAGTTATCCACAGGAACAGAGGACACTTTTCTTTGCATGGACTTGTTTCTCCACTTTCCATTTGGGTGGTATTTGCAGTTCATTTCTGGGAATCCTTCAAGTAATCATCTTCTCACCAGCTTTAAATTCATGATGTTCTAAAGTTGTCTAGTAACTATGATTAGGGTTTGACACAACTGGTATTGGTCTTCCTGATTCTTTTGAAAAATGACTAATTTTTCTTTCCTTGTATTTTTAAAATGTGGACCTTCTGCAGGTGCATAGGCTCGAGTATAGAAGACTGCATCGGCCTGATGGATAGGTACTTGGTGTGCTTGCCTCTCGTGTTCTTCCTCCAAGGCTCCGTGTGTGAGCACTGGTGCATGTGTGTGCATGCCACTGTGAATGGAGAATGATGTCTTCTGTTCTGTAATTGCCTGCAGGTGTAGCGGTCCCACTAGTCATGACTGCATTTACTACCTTTGGACGGGCCATTCCACTTTACCACAACATGCTAGGTAACATCTACCATGTTTCCATTTTGTCATTCAAATCCTTTCCCAATTATCATGGATAAAAAAAAAGAAACAAAAAAACAACTACTAACCATTTGGGTAAAGTTTATAATATGTTACATCAGGGAGTAATGAGAGAGGTATATAACTCTTTACATTTCAAGCCATATGTCTTACCTCTTCTTCCTTTATTCATTAAGATTTTGGAATCCAAATTAGTAATATCATTGATTTCTTTAATTGTGTATGATTTAAACATGATTTTAAATATTAACCTAGAACTTTAATAGAATCTTTATGTTCTTAATTATGTAGATGATTGCAGAAAGAATTATCTTTTAGAGGATAATTTGCAAAAGTTGATCTGTTTTCTGAGGTATTTCTTACTTGATTTAATTTCTGACTTTATTTTGAACTGATTGGTATATTCCCTAGGTATCAGGATTACTATAAACTAAAGACTGTATAGAAAATATTCAGTACAATACAAATTAAAAAACAAAGTATTCCCCTTATGTTTATACAAAAACCTATATACAGATGCTTGTAGTGGATTTATTCAAAATCACCAGGACCTGGAAATTATTCAGATGTCTTTTAATTGTGGTATACCAATACCTTGTAAAATCATTCAGTAATAGAAGGAACAAACTGCTGATATACACAAAACATGGATGGATCTCAAAGGCAGTATGCTAACTGAAAGAAGCTAGATTTTAAAGAGTACATACTATAGGGTTCCATTTATATGACGTTTTGGAAAAGGCAGAAAGATAGAGAATGAAACTGATCAGAGTTGCCAGGAACTGGGGTGGGGGCAGAGGGAGATGAGCTCTATTACAAAAAGCTGTGAGGCAATTTAATGAGATGATGGAACTATTCTGCATCTTAATAGTGATGATGGTTGCATGAGTGTATGGACTTGTCAAAAACGGCTATGCTTTACATTAAGAGGAATGACTTTTACTTTACATAAATTATACCTCAATAAATTTGACTTTAAAACATGTCATGTTTAGGAAAATAGTAACTGTACAATGTGGTGTGGAAACACTGTTAGCTTTCTTTTTGAAACAAATTAATTGTATCTTTTGGAAGAGAAAATAGTGCTAAATTACAATTAGCAAAGTAACCATTTGGATAAAGCACTGCCTTTTAATGTAAACTTTTGATTGAAGTGTATCATATGTACTGTAAAAATATGCACAACATTAATGTAAAGCTCAATAAATTTTTCCAAATGAAGCATTTGTGTAATCATCAGCCAGATCAAGAAACAGAATGGTATCAGAATCAGAAACACTTCTTGAGGCCCGTTTCCCTTGAGCTAACAACGTGGGTCAATTTGCCTGCTTTTATACTTTATATACATTGAATCATGCATATGTACTCTTTATATCTGACTTCTTTTACTAAATATTAAATGAGATTCATCTATGTCATTTAATTTAGTTGTAGTTTTATATTTATATGATATTTTGCCTTTAAATGTTTTTAAAACAGTCTAACATGATATTTCTTTTTAGTAAATTATTTTTTAATAAAACAAATAGAGAAATCAAATTCTAAAAAGAAGAATGTGTTAGTTAAGTGATTTATACAACAGTGGCACTTTGTCATTTGGGCACAATCAAGATCTTTTAATATGACTATTTAGAGCAATGTCAAATTATGAAAAAAATAATTAATAAATGAGAAACAGAGAGACAAGGAAGGAAAGAGAACCTAAGGCCCAAACTGCAGTTTTATAAACAAATGTCTGTTTACTCCTATATATATATTTTTCCTCTTTGAGCCGTGGTTGAGTCACTGTACTATCACTTTGAAGCATGTATGTGCATTTGTTTTTGATGATTTATTATAATCATTGCAACCAGTTAACAAGAGGCAATATAGTATGGTGGTTAAATGTGCTGTCTTTGGAATCAGATTTTCTACTTTTTTTAGATGTGTGACTGTAGGTAAGTTCCTTAAATTATCTGAGCTTTGCTTTCTTTATTATACAATAGGACTATTAATATCATTCATAAGTTGGCTTGGAAGGTTGAGTGAGTGAATAAGATAGTGCCTGATTTAGCAAAATCACTCAGAACGTATTATCATTTCTCTAGATAGAAACTATTTTAAATGGTAGGAATGGAGGAGCATACCCCTCCAAAGGGTAGCAGGTCTCTCAGAGTAACTCAGGGAGCTTTGATATGTCCCTCTGTCCCTTTGATAGGCCCTTTAAAGGAAGGGAGGGCGTTTCTTTCCTCATCTTGAAAATTGCTGTCTTAACGAGGGCCTCTGGTACTAATGGCAGTAGGTCATAGGCATAGGCATATGGAGAGACAGAGAAAGTGTTAAAATCATAGTGACAGATGACTTAGGTTTTCAGTGATAGTAATTGAGGTTTATCACTCAAAATCATAGTGTGTCTTACAAATTTAATATTTCCAACATTTAAACAGAAGTAGTTTGGAAATTTTCATTCCTGCTGTTTACATAGATTTCCAAGCCATTCCTTTTAGTCTTAGGTTAACAGGTCAAATTCATATTAGCTTTCCCATAAATAAATTTGAATTTTCCTGGTGGCTCAGATGGTAAAGAAACTGCCTGCTATGCAGGAGACCTGGGTTCAATCCCTGGGTTGGGAAGATCCCCTGGAGGAGGGCATGACAGCCTGGAGAATCCCCAGGGACAGAGGAGCCTGGTGGGCTACAGTCCATGGGATCACAAAGACTCAAGCATGACTGAAGTGACTAAGCACTGCACATGACCAGTAGCAGCATATAGATTGTAGAGTTCAGCCCATCATTCTGACGAAAAATCACCTGTAGGCCTTGGTACAGGTAAAGAGCAGAGGTTCTTGAATGTGAAAACCTGGGGTCAGGTATTGACTCTGCAATAATTTTTATCTGCAAAATGAGGACAATAGTGGCAATTTTTAAAGTGGGAATTCTTATACCTAATAAAATTGGTGTGAAGATTAACTGAGATAATGAAAAGGAACTGTTGTTTAGTATGAGTTCACTTCTGGTAGTTATGAATCTACTTGAAATATTAGTAAAATAATCTTTTTAAAAATTTCATGAGGTTGTGCTCTATTGGTATTTTATAGCAGGTCACTGATCCAATAATTCAATGGCTATGGAATTAACACATTCAAATTTCTCAGGTTCTAAGTACCTAAATTTTGTATCACATTTCTTAGTATAATGATTTCAAATAATTGATAGTAGATATCTAATTGTTCCTTTTAGATATCTCTAGATATCTTTAATTAATATCTGTTTTAACATAAATTTAAGACAGTTTAAGTTATTCAATTCTTACATTGACTTACATTATGTTGACTCTGTTCTTCAATTGTATTGACTTGTTGACTGACTTGTCAGCTGCTGTTTATAAGGCAGTTTGGAATTTGCATAAAAGATTTAGCTTGGACACTTCAGAAAATATTTATGAGCATGGAGTGTTTTGACATGGGTTGGATGAGGAATAACAAGTATCTCCTTTCAGGTCCTTGGTATTGCAGTAAATGCTTACTTCTCAGAAATGGGGTGGATATATATTTAATTGAAAGCAGGGAACTAGTTTAGTAATATTATACTTCGGGTCATTTCTCATTTTTAAATTCCATCACAGTTTAAGCTTCTATCTTAATTGATTAAAGTAAATTTTATATAATAGGAGGAGAAAAACATGAGAGAAAATAATTGTTTTAAGTTTCATACATAATAATTTAACTGGGAGATTATCCAAAACCTAGTTTTCTTTTAGTCACAGAAAATTACATTGAGCATGTCAATGTGGTCATTTCGAGATATTTAGAGTTCATACTCTCTACTGCCCCATTATCCTCTATTCTGTTTCCTAAACCAGCAGGAAAAGAGATTGAAGATTTAAATGAAAACAGGTGAAATGTTTCCAATCTTGATCGACTTTCATTTTCTAAGCAGTGTTATTCTTTCCCGACCCTGCAATTTACGAATTGGTTTTCCACACTCCATTTACCTTGTAGGCTGCTACTGGAATTTCTTCCAGGAAGATTGGACAGGATAGAATAGAATTTATTTTTTTACTAGTAATCTACTAGAATATGCTACTTAAAATGAAAATAATGTTTGATATTTTGAAACTTCTCCATACTTTCCTTATTTGAAATAAATTCCTTAAAAATAGCATTTAGCTTTGATGTTCTTCCTATTCCATCAAGGATCTTATGAAGAAATACATTTAGAAAAGTTTTATTTTTAAAATTCTTCTTGGTGCTATTTATTTTAGCTTGTATATGTGCTGTTTTTGTATAGATTCTGCTAGAACTATGTATTCTGTTCTATTTTATTTTAGTTTCTTAGCCAAATATATATCCAGAGCTTTTAAAAAATCTTAGTTTCTTACTCTTCTAGAGCCTAAATTTGTTCATCTCAACAAGCAAAGACTCTGTTGGCAAAGCATTTTTTTTTTTTTAGTTAGCAATTCAAACTTTAAACTAATAATTTTTTTATTGAACTTATAACAACTGACAGAAATGATAACAACTAGTAGATGTATGTTCAAGCATTTTTATCTGGCTGTTTGTTTCAACTCAATTATTCTAGATGCTTCACAATATGAAATAAGGTAATTGAACTTAACTTAACTCCCTAAATCTCATATAGGCAGATGTGTGAAATGTTTCATGCCTGTGTCACACTTTTACTTTACGATATAGTAGTTATTACAGAAGAGGTCACATAACAGTTTATCCTTTAGCAGTGTGACCCATGTGTGATAAATGAGAGGGCTGATGTGATGTTCTTGGCACTACTTTCACAAATGGCAC